ACATGCGCTTGTTAAGTTGGCTGATGAAATGGCTCTCTATTCCCGAGAAGCTTCCCACCATTTGTAACACTGACTCAGTAAAGTGCCTTGATACAATCGCTCAGATCAACAAAACTTCACGCTACCTATGAGCTTTTATCAGAACTGGAAGCAAGAAAACTGACCACCTGGGTACCGCTGAACTCGAAAGCGGCGTAAAAGGCACCTGGCTTACTCCCTGCGTTCTCAAAGCCCCAGAGCGCAAGCAGGTGACTCAAACTGCCTGCAATCAGCAACACCGATTCTCCTACGGTATTCACAAGTTGTCTCTGCTCTGCGTTGCAAGTTCTGCACAGAAGAACATGGGTATCGGTGTGTAGATCTAAGAGCAAGTTCCTCGAATTTTGGAAAATGGACAAACCAGAGACGATGAAATAAGGAAATTCCAGTGGAGTGTTTTTGATAAAATGATCAGCGCTACTTAAATGTCTAACAGTGTAACCGGGAGAATTTTGGACCTCTCCAGGAGCTGTTGTTTGAAGCCATCTGAAGACTCTGCCAAGCATTACTCGATGGCTACATTCCGCTCTCAAGTACAGAGAAGAGAAAACGGGGTAACCCCTTTGCTCCCACAGAATAACAAAGCATTCTTGCATCAAAGCTCGGATTCTGGAATCGGCGTGTCACATGGGGACCGCTTATGGGCCACAGAGCTCTGCTGACTTTTAAATCACTCACTAGGGGAAAAAAAATAAAAAAAATCTAATCACCTCTATACTCTGTGTACCTCCCCTCTCCCTTTATCCACATTTCAGCTGCACTACAACGCTAAAAGTTCTTCTGTCAGGGTTCTTTTGCAGCTGGAAACTTGGCTGATGCTGAGCTATGCCTGGTTTAACACATCCAAGAATATTTTAATTCTTACAGCACCTACAGCCCCATAATTAACACCTCCACACTTTTAGATTGTAGCACAGCCAGTGACAGAAGGTCAAAATGGAGCCTGCCTACACAAGAGCATTATTTGAGAAAGCAGTCAAATCACTACAGCGCAACAAACACTTTTCTTGTCAGACTTCAGCCATGCAGAAGAGTGTCACACTGCATTTTCACTGTAATAAATTAAAAAAAGATCTTGTCATAGCTCTCTTACCATTCATTTGACTGTAACGTAGGAGAATCATTCTGGGCTATGTGATATAAGGCACTCATTGCATTCATGTTGAAAAGCGGAGGCTTCCTTTCAGCTGGAAAGAGAAGAGAAAGGTGTGATAAGGCTGTCTGGAAAGAAAAGGAGAAAGATACGGAAGTATGAGCAGGGTATCACTGCTAAATCAATAGCTCATTACTGTCGTCACCACATTTAAGCTAATTATTTTAATATTCTAGGTTAGACCAGGACAACCACTCAAGGAAAGTGGCTATTTACTTGAAGAGGGGATGACAAAATCCAAAGAGAACAGGATGCAGGAAAAGTTTCAGGTAAATTTTACCTTAACTGCAACATTTCACACCTGACCTGCTGTAGTGAAATCAAGAGAAGCTGACTAAAACGGAGGTTAGACACACAGCATGTCAGAGCTAGCAAATGCATGTATCAATCCTGACAGATCTCTGATGCACTGCTGTAGCATCTGTGTCAAGGGGAAAGGGTGGCTGCCTGCTTCCTTTGTCACTGGCCGTCGCCTGTACACGGGACAGTTTGCCATATTCACTTGCCAGATGTGCTGTTAACTCCCCCTAACTAAAATTCTCCCCCGTCCTTGCACCAAGAGGACACCTACCTACCAGTCCCTGGCACGTCAGGAGGGCAGCAGATCTTGCACAGAGATCGAGAAAAGCTACTTCTCACCACCATCTCGGGTCAGTCATGCCAACCAGCCCATGCTGCCAGGATTTTTAAGTTCATTTCAGGTCAGCACAATCACTTGTCCTTGACATGCAGCATGCATGCAAATCACTGCATTTTCTTTTCTTTAAACATTATTTACTTTCAGCTACACAAGAAATTAAGACATCAGCATTCAAACAAAGCCAAGCAGTGCTCTACAAGAGATTTCCTCCCACTGCTACTTGACCCCATGTTCAGGTCAGGAATCATGCAAAGGCAAAGCTCAAAGTTTAAAAAAAAGTTTACTATTTCTTAAAAGTGTAATATTAAAACAGCAAACCCATCAACTACGTAAAATGGCTTTGAGGTTCTCAACTGAAAAGCTCCATAGAAAATGTAGCATCAAGGCTAAGTGCCTGCATAGGGTAGTGTAATACCTGTTCCTACTCCTGCAGAGGCCATAACTATACTCCACATGCACAAAAAATAGGAAAAAAATCAGTGGCCACATGGAAGAACAGAAGTCTAGAACTTCTGATTTTTGCATTCTTTATATCAAAATGCAGACTGTTTCAGCAGGGTGTTAGCGCTGGCACATGAAAGACAACATCGGAAGCTGCTAGCCACTGACACCATTACCGTCTCCAGTGGACATTTCTTCCCATTCTGTACGTCCCCTTTGTTATCTCATACCTATTTCTGCTCATTAAACATTTATAAATCAGTGACCTTGCCCTCACAATAAGTTCTTGATGTACTGCTGTTAAGTATAATCTGTATCAAGAATATCTTTGAAAATAATCTGCTCAGCACATGCAATGTCAATATTCAAACTTCCAGTGCACACGTCTGCTCTGTATACCTGCTATCACATTTACATCTGCTGCAGGTTGTGTGGATGGGTATCATTTGCCCTTTGCAGTGCAAACCCTTTTCTTCTCATGTAAAGAACCTGTCCACGGTGATTCATGACACAAACTTTCAGCTGAGATTGAAGATTTTTGTTTCAGAGAGTAGGGAAGAAGAATTGAAAATAAAACATAGGGCCCTTCTGACACGCAATCCTCAGGACACCAGTTCCCTTGACATAATAGCTGGAACAACTTTCTCAAAACCCAGCTTGAAAAATACAGACCAGAAACCATAGTTTCTTGTCATAAAAGTCTAGAATTGTCTAGTTATTAAGGGAATAAATGAGCACACCAGATTAACATTAAAGCATAGCAGCGTTAGTGGCTTGCTCTTGATTTGCCAGTGAGTGAAAGATCTAACTGTCAGTGCTTTCCAAATCAAGTTTTTTAAAGCAGGGAAAAAAACAACCCCAAAACTTACAAGGAACAAAAATATTCCATTTATTCAGGACTTCCTAATAAATATTGCAGTTAATTATTCATCTCAGCTGCTAAGTATTTACTCACCTAACTCAATACACGTGATCCCAAGAGACCAAACATCCACCTTTCCATCATACTGTCCCTCGTCCATAGCAAGGATCACCTCCGGTGCCATCCTACCAACCACAGTGGAAAACGTGCAGGTTAGGAGATACAAATTGCGACTCCCAGCAAACGGCTTAAAATGAGGCGGCTTCGTTATCTTCAGCAGTGCAGTGGACCAGGACTTACAGAGCCAGCATGGAGCCGAGTAAAGCCACGCTGAAAGGAAACAACGCTTGCCTGCACTAGCAACTCTTCCAAGAGGCAGTTTAAGAAAGGAAAGTAAGCCAGAGGCCAACCTGATCACCTTGCTGTTCGTGCAAGATGCTGGCACATGGGAGACCCTCACCAATCTCACCCGCAGGCAGACAGCAAGGGCTGGGAGAGTCCTAAAGGCATCACTTTCACTCTCACCAGAGACGGTGGGTTTTCCAGTGGCACGCCAGGAGAATTTTCCAGCAGATACATGCAGCCTATGAGTGTAGCTATGAAAGGAACATGGAAATCCAGAACAGTGGGGAAATACAGTGGTCCATGATAAACGGTTGAGTGGGAGGGCAAAAAGAAGCAGCAGGCCCAGTCTGCAAAAACTCAGCCTCTTTAACTTCTGTTCTTCAAAGATGAAGCAGGCTTCCTGCCATATGGACCTGATCAGGGTTGGGCGACAGGTGAGCGCCCATCAACGCCTGGGGTGTCTGCCACAAAACAAGCGGAGCATACAGCTATGCTGGTCCACTACGTAAGCAGTGCCAAGCAACTCAAGTGACCCTTAAGCAAGCTTCTTCAAAACAGGATTTAAGTAGCTGCGTGACTTCCAGTCTGCACAGCCAGATTAACAGGATTCCCTTTCTCCACGTGGTTGTTTTAGTTTCATTACCTATGGCAAGTGTTAGCAATTTGTAAGCCAATGGCATCACAACAGTCGCAACATTAACTGGTGCCATTTCGAAGTGCTGCACAGCCTACCTCTACTGATGGGCACTGAGAAAGAACACATTTCCTGAAGAGCTGGACAGAGGGATTTGAAGAAAACTGCTTGGTTAATAAAGCTTTTATGACAGATATTCTTTTCAGATTGTGAAACACTGGAAACGGAAGAGAGCAGTCTTACAAAGGACTAAGGTATTGCAGGCTTTACTCACCAGTAAGGCGTTCCCACAAAAGAATTGGCAGGGGAGATTATAGATGCAGACCCAAAATCAGCTAGTTTCACTTGACCTGGTTCTGTTAGAAGAATATTTCCAGCTTTAATATCCCTTTTAACGAAAAAAAGAAAAGTATACTCCTGGTTACATTAGAATAACTTTCAAAGATTCACAAACGCACCCAAGTCTACTAACTTTTTCTCAATTAAATATTCATAAAAACCTGAGAATATTTAGAAGTCTACTATTGCAGAAAGCTAGAGAAGTCAGATACGCGGGTTTTTTGGGAATGGAAACCTGGCTGTACCCAGAAAGAGCAAAGGGTGAGGGAAGACAAGAAGAGATGAGCCATGCTTGCAAGGTTAAAGCCCCAAACTGAGATCCAGGAGAGATGTATCCTAACATCCAGCTGTGACACCTTAAATGATACCAGACATGTTATTTTCATCTTTCAAATGCCCTAGGCTGATCCTTCCTACAGCTCTCACATAATTCGCACATTTAAGAGATTAACAATAATGACACTACTGAAATGCAAAAGGCACAAGATATATTCAACACCTTTGGCACCATAAGTTTCTAAATTCCAGCTGTAAGTGGGATAATTTAAAATTAACCACCCATGAAATGCTGAGAAAGGTTAACTCAATTTGCATACCTTCCAAGACACTTGGCAACGACCCTGTTCAAAGTTTGAGACAGACTTGTCGGCTATATCCAAAATATTTTTTTCTTCCACCCATCTGACATAAGAGAAGGACAGCTTTAAGAATTTCAAGTCTACTTACACATTGCCAGCTGAAAACCATAATATAGTGAAAGCTCCCTAAAACCCCGATACCGCACTGCACAGGGAAAATTGCACACCAGGTATGCCACAGGTGCCTTCACACGGGCAAAGCTACTCGCTGTTGCAAAAGCGGACGCTCAAAATAAATGGAGTATGTGTAAGGGATCCCTGTCAGCCAGGCTGCATACATGATACCATCTGGGATGTCTCTGTCATCTCTTCAAAAAATACCATACAAAAAGTGCATCAAGAAAAACATCGGCTTTTCTGATCTGGTGTTCAACTGTAAGTCCTTAACCAGCCACTTCTCAGCAGTGGTAGACCTCCAACACAAAGAAGTCACTGTGTATTGCCAAACATACTCGGTACTGTGACCCCGTGAAGACCGAGCTAATTAGATAAATGCAAAGGGCAACAAAGCTTTCTTGTGTTTGCTGCAGAGGAAGAGCAGACACTGAATTATCATAAAACAATTAAAACATAACGATTTGTGTATCAAATACAAATCCAGGATCACTGTAGACCTAGAGAGCAGGCAAGCTGAAAGATCCTTTAAATCTAGCGTGATACAAACACCGGTGAGCTGCCTTTGTCTCCACGGAGCAGCACACAGGCCAGGCAAAGCTGCGATGGAGAGAGCCACAGAGACAGGAATTTACCTACAGTAGTTCAGCAACAGAGCTGGAGCCAGAACCTCTATTCCCCCATTCCCAGGACACTTCAAAACTAGTATTATGGAATTTTTTTGCACACATGTGCTCCTCAGAAACACATCCTGACATGTCTTCATGCTTTGGGTCTATGCATCTGTCACTTCTGCTGGAGGACAAGTGCTGGAGACGGCTGTATGTGCAAGAACGCACACCTCAAAAGCACAGAAGAGACAGCACAGGCTGTCCTCTTTGCTGCCATCTCCACTGCCACCTTCACTGTACCACAACCAGCAGAGGACTTGGCAGCCACGTTAGGTGCTGGCAAACGTACCTGCTAACTTAGGTGTGTCTTGTGCTTGCCATTAAACAGAAAATAATCCCAGATGTGAGTGGCAGCAGAACTGCCCAGGGAGCCCAGGAGGCGAGATGGGAGCCCTGCTCCGTGCTGCGTCCCCACAAGGTGTCCTTCCATCCCAGGCCACGCTCGGTCCCGTCCTCGCTGCGGCCCCCTGCCACAGCAGAGACAAGCTTGGCACCTTGCTCCAGAGGGGCAGCTCCCCTGGAGCTGTGCACACCAGCACAGCACTCCTCACTGCCCAGCCACGACACGGCACTCCCTCGCCTCGCCGTTACAAGACGCAACATCTATCAGAAAACTAGAAATCTCTTGATAGCCCTCTTGTCTGAAAGAGAAGCTCTGCCTCCCCGTCTCAAAGTCAGAATACGCCTTGGAAGAACACCAGCCAGACAGGCAAGGGACAGGGAAGACCCGCATGGCCCTTCGAGCAGTAGCTTTCCTTACGGCTGCTCTCGGCACGCTGCAACAGCAAAGGAACTTCTTCCAGTTTGAAAGAGAAACAACCAGCTTTGCTGTTGATACACGACAAGCGTGCTAACGGGAAGTTCACAGAGAGTAGCTAGTATCCAGTATGTGAAGCTGCTGAATTTACAACACATTAATTGCACCATGTCGTAAGTCCTAATGAGTATCGAGAAAAACTACTTCTCAATGGCATCCATACAGGGTGTCCTTCACCATCAATAAGAATTCAGTGCACTTTGAAAGCACGTAAAATATTTCAGAATAGGTATTTTAACGCTCAAATAAGGGCATACATGCAAAAGGCTGATAAAAAATAATCTTATTTTAATTTCGTAAGCTGGCATTCATGTTTAAATTAATATTTCACTTAAATATTATTTAATAACCCTGTGTAGACATGCTCCAAATAGTTATTCTAACAAGTGACAAATAATGCCTGTCTCTGCAAAAATCCCTCACTCTCTCAGCCTCAGATATACCGATTTTCTGCCTCAAGCTTGCCAGCAGACTACAGGGGCTTTTAGCCCCATAAATTAGTCTCCAGCTGCCTCATTCTGATGACTCCCCACTCATTACACTGATCTAGTTCTCACCCATTTCACAAGTCCCTGACATACCAGCAGTACCCCAAATTAGACAAAAAAAACCATAAAACGAGAACATGTAACATTGTTGACAAATAAGTCAAAAAAATCCAAACTCCTCAAAAATACCACATGATGAAAGACCGATCTAGAGCTGCATCCACAAGCAGCCCGTTAGAAGATCTTCCTCTGCCTGTGTGCTGATTTCTCCTAACTACACTGATCTAGTTCTCACCCATTTCACAAGTCCCTGACATACCAGCAGTACCCCAAATTAGACAAAAAAAACCATAAAACGAGAACATGTAACATTGTTGACAAATAAGTCAAAAAAATCCAAACTCCTCAAAAATACCACATGATGAAAGACCGATCTAGAGCTGCATCCACAAGCAGCCCGTTAGAAGATCTTCCTCTGCCTGTGTGCTCTGATTTCTCCTAATGTAGTTTTACCCTTGACTTACGCCTTGATCAAATGATTTCTGCAACCATAAAGTTTTACTTACTCATATGTAAAAAATTCTCACAATGTCTAGTCTTAAAAATAATCTAGCTCTATCACGCCACTTTATTTGGCAAATTTAGGGTGATATTTTCCTGTCGGAGTTTACTCCTAACATTCAGGTGTATTCTTCCCTACCAGCTTCTGCACAGAAAACCTGCTAACATGGAAGTAAATTCAGCACAGGATGTAGCCACATTAAATTATTTCAACCCCCAAAAATGCACTCCTTCAAAGCCAACAGCTTTTATTTATACATCTGCCCTGGCATTATGAGTACTGATGTGTCCATTAGAGAAAATTTTGATGGAATAACCTTTACCCAAGTTGTTTAAGGACAGAGAAGCAACTTGCAGACTCCAGAGAGCGGCAGACGGACTGATGTCTAGCAGCACGGAGCTCTAGCCTTACCTATGAATCTTAGAGTGAGAGTGCAGGTAGGCCAGCCCCTGCAAGGCACCGTGGGTGATGGCAGCAATCTCCACTTCCTGAAGTGGTTTCTTATGAACTACGGAAAAACAAAACAAAACCATAAGAAGGCAAGTGTGACCTTTTCCTGAGAAAGTGTTTTTCAAGAGAAGGAACCCCACCAATTTTGCCAGCTATGAGATGAACATCGTCTCTGTCGTACTAGCTTCCTCTGGCCTGATGGCCATTAGCAGCTCTGAGCGTACGTGCAGCCTGTGCGTGTATTCCACGTCACAGGAAACCACGTTTTTCTTCACTTTCTTGCTAGGGCCAACAATTACTGTTAGCACCAGGAGATATGTCTGAGTGCAGCTTGCCAAATGTATTTCAAGTACTCATTTGGTCCTTAGCAAGGCAAACTTGCCACTTTTCCCCTCAATAGACAAAAAACAGGAAAATGAGGAATACCAACTACAAAGAGACGCCGCAAGGCACCTCCCATATCCCTAAATATGCCCAGCACGTGCCTTTGGCTGACCATATCTTAGACAGAAAAGATACGGCCCACTAAGACTACTAGTTTTTGCAAGCTTCAGCTTAGATCCCCTATTCCTCCAGGTGCCGTTGGTTCTAGTTTTGAGGTCACAGCAGTCTCTTGTTCTAGCAAACCATCCGTAATTATTTCCCCAAACTGCAAGACAAGGGCAAAGGTGATCTCTGCAGGTTTTTGTTATGGATATTCAGAAAATAGGCCGTCTGCTTCAGTCACCAAGAAGGCGCAAATTACAGGAACATAGCTGCATACATTTCTACCTTTGTTTTATAACACATGAATGTGCATGCCAGCTATGTGTAGCACTGGCCTCCTGGGAAAGTCTTGGCTTACCTTTGGTATCACAAACACAGTTACAGAATCGAGTCATATAGACGGACCGTCTCTACCACCTGCAAAACACCAGCCTCCCACTACACTCAGAAGGGGCACTAGCAAAAACAAAATCAAAGACGATGTAAAACTTACCCTCTAGTAAATCAGAAGCTGATCCTAAACAGTACTCCATAACCAACTGCAAGACAAAAGCATGCTTTTAAATCGTACGGTAGACACTCCCCCACAAACAGTTTCTACTTGCATGGCTGAGAAACAGTACAAGAAAATAACATCTTAAGTTGCAAGAAATGCAGTAACTGATGAAAAAAATAAAATGCTCCAAACATTCCAGCAATGTCAAGACACCTTTCACTGTTGTAAAGCAGGTTTAGGCACTAAGAAGTTTGCGGGGAGGTATTATAGAGCATGTTCCATAATAATTATTTAATCTGCACGAACAGAGGCCTGCCTTTGAGAAGCAGGGGTTTGTTCCAATATTCTAAATATCTATTCCCTTCAAATTACCTGGAAGCTTCTTCAGGTGAAAGGGACTACAGACATTGCATGTACTGAATATTTGACTGCTGTACTGTACATTTTTTGCTCATGAAGACCTCTCCATGCCACACCACTCACTCACCCATGCCGTATGCTCTTTCAGGTAACAGCCCTTATACTCTATGGTGTTGGGGTGCTTCAGCTGTTGTAGAAACTTGACTTCTTTTATGATATCCTGCCATTTCTAACAAATAAAAAGTAAAAAGGTATAAATATATTTCTCTGCTTAACCTCCACATACTCTCATACACTACATACTGTAGTACGGTCTGAAAAAGCAACCAGAAAACTATTTTACAAGGTCAAGATGGTAAGAGTCATAGTAGCAAAATCACAACTGTACACCAGCTGTCTGGATCCCTATTGCACTAAGAGACCCTCCCCTGACATACTTAAACAGCTCGAGGATTGCAAAAATATTGTTTTTCCTCATTTTAGCTGCAGTACATTTTACTTAGAACATTGCTACTGGTTTTGCATATTGAACTGTTCAGTGGTCTCAAACTTAGTCACAAACCCACCCGCCCCGAGAGACACCACCACCTATACTCTGGGTAGAGAGAGCAGCAGTTCGCCGCTCGCTTCCTTCTGCAATGCAGCACAAAGCCACTGACATTTGGAAGATCTCAGCACATGGGGGAGACCAACAGGTAAGCAAAGAAAAAAGAGTTTAAAACATCCCTGTTTGGTCTTAACAGACACACACATTCTCCACCGCACATCAATGCACCAACCCAAATGAACAGAGTCAATCCCAGCTCAAAGCACCGCAACACAAAAGAGGAGCGACTAACAAGCAACAACAGCAGTGAGACTGACATTCTGAACACAAGCTCTACGCAATTTTAGACTACAGATCCTGAAAAGTGTTGCAAGTCAGCTATACATTTCAGTTGACACCTCAAAGAGTTGTGGTTATGGCTCCAGTAGCCAGTGTGCTCTTAATGCACCTATTACTAAAATTATTACTGAAATAACCACCATGCAAGCCTTCTGAATTCCCACTCACTTCCTTAAACTGAACTATTTGTCAAAATTTGCATAAACTCATTTTCCCTCCACAAACCTCCATGCTTCCTATGGAAGTGAGTAACAACTACCGAATTAAAAAGCGGGTCTGCTAGTGTCAAATTAAATACACAGCTAATTTCACTGTTCACATTTACATTATGGTTGCACCAGCTTCTGCATGCAGAACTGGCTTTATTCATCTTACCTCGTTCGTTTGCTTTCCACTATAGGACATTTTCTTGACTGCCACCACCTCATTAGTGTGGGAATTTGTAGCCTGGAGCAGGGAGAAAGAAATAGATTGAAAAAAGTTTCATTTTTTTTCCCCTCCCCATGGAGTAAGCTGTGCCATTAGCAAATGTGGGCTTTTTTCCTGCTATATCACATCCTTGCAAGCTCCTACGCCTCAGAGACATCTTCCTTGCGGTAAGATTTACCAGACAACTATTATGACACTTCTTCCTGACTTTATCTGTCCATAGTCCATATCCACTGTTCCTCCCTTGGCCCTTACCGCACTTGTTACCTCTCTATTAACCCAGGCCCAATACTGGACCTACTGAGAACATGCAAAATACAGTTTTGTTGGAATTGCAGTAAAACCTTTGGAAAAGGTTTTCCAAATAAACAAATAACGAGGTGTATCAAAATCTCCATAATTTCATCCAAAACCCCCATACAATGCTGACATTCTTGAACAGCTATTTCAATTTCCATTTTCATGTAGATGCTTCATTCTGGAATTTACCTCAATTAAAAAAAGGCAACCTTCTTTTCACTGCACCAGACCTCAGTTTTGCAATGAATATTATTCAGTCATCAAAATTCTACTTTTCCACAGCTTGTGTGATACAGTGACGGCAAGGCTGAAAACTCAGTTTTAGAAAGAGCTCTACTTGCCTGCATTGGCACTGCCCTCATTTCTCCCTGTTAAGAAAACTTGAACATTTTAGTCTTAAAAGAGCTGTCGAAATCCCAGTACCTCAAACCACTTACCATTTTTGGGACAAAAAAAAAAAAAGACACTTAAAAGCTTAGAATACAATAGAAGCTAAATGTGGTAAATCCTTCTTTCAACTGCTTGAGTACTATACTCGCAAGTAATGTATTAATGAAAGACATTTCACAATGCATACAGTGACTTCAAAGAAAAATGACATTGGGTGAACCAACAGAGCACAGGAATTACCACAGGGAGTTGACACATGTGGCTGCTTCACAGCACACACTCCTCCTCAAGCCAGTTAGAGGAAGCTGAAAACAAGTAACTTCTGCATAGCGCAAAACCCTTCCTAACCACTCACCGTCCTGATTGAGCACGTAAAAGATCAGGAGTATTTTACTCAAATAGATTGATTAATTCTGGTGTTCTAAAGAAGTTTCCAAGTATTTCTGTCTGTTACATTAATTCCAAATATCTTCATGTGAGCGTGGCATCTCTCGTTTCAGCTGCCATTTGGTGCCAAATGGCGTGCTGCCGTGTTCTCACAGTTGCGGGTGAAGTTCTCTGTACCGAACACTTGGGATCCTCCTGGCTGAAATAATTTAAAGGGCTGTACAAGCACACTTGACAGAAATACCTACTTGCCGAAGTAGTTTTGGCCATACTTGTAGCTCTTTAGTGAAAAACCTGGCAGAAAACAAGCACATTTTGCTTGCAAAACCTCCTTTACATTGCCCTCATCTGCTTTAGCACTTCTCCGCATTTCCAACATGGATATAAGTAGGTGGTTGTTCATGAAAACTATTTTTCTGAAGTGTGAAATCAACTTAGCTGATTTCAAGTCAAGTTAGCAGTAACTTTAAAACCTTGTGCGAAGTGACATATTTTTTCATAGCCTTCCAATATATGAAGTATCATTTCTTTCAAACAAGAAAAGGAATTTACAAATTATCTCACCAAGCCATGGCAATGGTATACTGAAAAACAAAACAGCTCACAAAAGTTGAGGCTACCTTGCAGTTTTTACTAGAATAATCATGTTAATCCACAACAACAACAGTGACAAGCTACAGATCAATGTATTTGCTATTTGTAGTAGTGTCAGTACCAATTTAAACAAAAAGGTCAAAGAGATGCACCAACAGCATAACAACTCATGCCCTGTCGCTTTTTATGTAGCTGAAGTCTCTTCCCCATTCTTCTGAATAATTTAGAAAGCCTTGTTCCTTCAAAGCTTTTTTTGACCTGTTCTCCTCTTTTGATACCAAGAACGTCAGCATCCCTGGAATCTTGCCACAGCGATCCAAGATCTTCTCCTTGGCCCCTGTCTTACTCCAAGACGCGTAAGAATAAAGAATGAAGGTGAACAGAGAGATCCCAGGCTATTGTGCACGAAAACTGCAAACAGGCGAGGTGAGGTCCTGCTTGTGACTTACGTACACAGCGGGACAGGGCAAAGACTCCAAAGAACAGTTTACTAGATGCCAAGTGCTTCATGCAATGGGAATGAAAGCTTATGTTTCAAACAGGGGCAAAGAAGTGCGGATGTATCGCAGAAAAGCAGTGATGCATCTAATTACTACATTACTACAGCAATATTACTACAGGCATGACTGCAATCATCATCAAGTTTGGAGGATGCAACTGCTGCCAGGATATCGCAAGAAACTGCAGTCTGGCTAAACTCTCCAGAGTTTTTAAAGCACCGACCAGTCAAATAAAGCATCCAGGGAAAGGAGGAGGAGAAGCACTGGGGAATCGCAAATCTTTTACCTAACAATAGTGACATCTCAGTTGCAAGCCTGCTTGGCAGACTGGATCTCTAACACTCCTCACGCTCTTCTCCTGGAAGTATGAGGAATTTCCGAACACCAGAGCTGAGTGATAAAGGTGGCACCTTCACCACTTCATCTAAAGCATACCGTGCATCCTTTCCCTTTAGTTTTGAAATACACTGGGTAGGACCTCCCTAATTCCATCTAAAAACATGCTTGCTCTTCTTATGGGATGGATCAACATGTATTGTAACTTTTACAGCCTCATCCTCTTACATGTGTAGCACATTTAACATTATACTCTGACTGACCTGTCACTTACTCCACATCTCAAAGTGCCTGTCCCACTGCCGACAGTCCCCATGGCAGAAATCCCCCCGTCTCGCTCCTAACAGATTATACATGGAGGATTTATATCATTATCCCTCAAAACACACATGCGCTGCTTATCTGACACAAAACATCAGGCTCCTCTCCTGTTGTAACAACAGTTCCACCAACACCTCCATCGCTATACATAACTATAAACAGTGAATTGGAGTGCCTGCAAATAATTCTTGCTAGCTGCTGCCAGATTCTGGAGTTACAGGTGCAAGGGTACTTATCTAAACATTTTCATGTCTGATATTCAGAAATCTCAGTTCTAGTGAACTTGATCTTCTGGAGTGGCAGGTCACGCTGCCGAGCAGCTTTAATTTGTCTTTGACTGATTTTTTCGTAGTGAATTCTATTTTAGTTTCACCGCTAGCAATTGGAATATAATTATTTCCAAATCCAGAATTTTGGATTTGGCTTTGTTTGATACTAATTGTAAAAGCAATATTCTCCTCACTTTCCAGATTAACTTTTCTTGACTGTATTGATTAACACAATATATCCTTCCTGCCTGAATTCTCATTCCTCTCCAGATTTTCTTTTCTTTTGCCATGTAAACATTTGCTATTGAAGATAGCATGTCATGAGAGGAACACGGGGACAAGGAGGATGGCAAAACAAAACGGTATTCCAAAGATATATCTAACCCCTAAATGATCAGAGCAGCAGAGAAATCATTCAGAAGCCTGAATGCAATTTGATGTGACTTCCACAGTATCTTTACCCAAGCAGCCACAATATCAATTCATTAACAAAAGCAGCTTTTAACTCCAAACACATTTTGAATCATGAATTCACTAGATCTATTAATTTGCAATGACTCACAAGCATATGAGCACCAAGTAGAGTATCTTGAAATTCCAGTCTGGTAAATTCATTTCCAATTGTTTAAATTCAACTTTCAGCATCAGACAGCACAAGATACCATACACCTAACCTGAATGGTTTGGTGCACCACTAAGACTCTAGTCAACTGCTGCTATAAATACAGCTGCAACAGTAAAGAGCTCAGGAACGCTCTGGAAACATTTATTTTTGATATGTGTTATGAGAAAGCTAATACACACAAAGCACTAACTGCTCAAAAGAAGCTCCCTTTTACAAATGCCGAAAAGCTCTAGAACATCACTTAAAGTGATTGTATTTCCCAAAAAGGAGGTAAAGATCTATACTTACAAAGTAAACTGCTCCAAAACTTCCATGTCCAATTTCATGTAAACCCACAAATATTTCTTCAGGATCATCTTTGTAGAACAGGTCAGCTATTTCTGGGTCCTTTGGCACCCCTTTGCGCATGTTGAACAATATTATGAACTTGTTCGCCCTTTCAATTCCCAATCAACTTCTTCCTTCATTGACAAAGTAGTTTGTAGGCAGCATTCAGCACCTGGTGAAAAAGTTCATCTTTAATCTGCTTCCCTTACACATGTTTCTGTTCTCACTCCTCTAGCAGCAAAATAAGAGGAAACACTTTCAGAAGCAATAGACTTCACTATCGTTTCCTTCAGCTAATTCTTTTTAATTATTAGTCCAATTTAGATATAGAGATTAAAATGCATTCAGAATACAACAGCTCTTTATCTCACACAGGAAGCAAGGGCTGCAGTTACACTAGAGTCCACTTGAAGACAAGAGTCCTGTTGCTATGCAAAACATCCTGTGATAGGAGTTTGTTATTCTTCAGGCTGGTCTCCTAATGTGTCTGTTTTTAGACTATCATCATAGTTCCTCCTCCTTTTCTCTGCTGTTTGTTTGCTTTGTTTCTCTACTCCCACTAGCCAGCTGGTACTAGTAGAAAAGTTAGCTTCTGTTCTACAGAAACACTTCACAATCATATGATTAGTTGATTTATTTATTTATTTTTCAGAGCTATAAGACAGCTAGTGCTGTTGGATTGTAATGGCCCCCAGATCACAGAGGTGCTTTTGAAAGGTCTTAGGCTCCATCAGGTAAGGCAGATCTTTACCTCCGTAACACCTTTCTTTAGCAGAAGCATATAATTAGCACAGAACTGAGCGGCACGTAAATGAAGATTTGAAATATTCATCCTCAAAATTTTACTGGGGAGGAAGAAACATCAGGAATTTTCATATTTCCTATCAAAACATCTTGAAAAAATTACACTGGTTCATTAGCCACTGGTCTACAAAGCAATGAGAGATGCCTCTACCCATCTGCTTTCGACCTCTGCAACCTAGCAGATTATCTGCAGGTGAGTCAACTGGAGCAGTCTCTAACAGTCTGCAGCAAGTCTCAAAACTACTTCCAGATATGTAGTGCAGCACCTCATTTATTGAGACCACACCTTTTCTGTGCATAAAAGACTTCTGAAAACATACACTAAAAACTCCAGCCCACCTCATGATACAAACCAGGGTAACATTTAAAGAGAGACCAGGTGAAATTCAGCAATCGGATAAAATTAAAACTAAAACACATATAAAAGGCTTTAGAAGGTTTCAGGCTACAAGCGCCATCCGGATGGAAGGATGAAAGCAAAGCATAATTCTGGTCTGGGGCTGAGAAAGTCTCCTTGGCTCAGGATGATCAGTAACGGAGCAACAAGCACAAGAAATGGCATTTCAGTAGAGGTGCCCAAAGCACTCTGCTGGAGCCTACCTGGGTAACTGTGGCACAACGCATGCTCCGTGGCTCAGATTCTTTTCAGCAGCATTGTCCCGTGCTTTCGTCCCCCAAGACTCTGTGCACTCTCTTATTCTGCAAAGAAAAAGACATATCAACATTCAGGAAAAGGACTTGAAGTTTTACACCTTGTTCTCATATACAAAAATACTCCATCTAGACAAGACCACCGACTGTCAAGGCGTTGCTGGAAAGCACAGTTCACAGGAGTAGTGGCTGTGAATGCTAACTGTGTCTCTTTAGGTGAAGGTATGCACTTCCTCAGTTCTGTAGCCCTTGGGCTTCCTAGATATTGTTATAAGATAGGAAACCAGGAAAAGAGGTTAAATGCCAAGTTCTTTGACTTTTATAGAGACTCTTAAGCTTGCTGGGGCATAGGAGGAGCACAGAAGTTTGCTCTCAGACTACACTTCTTCGATTGCCTATAAAAAGGAGAAAGCTCGCATAGCTGAGTCTATTATTTAGCTCAGTATGTTGTACCTGATGACATATAAGGCTTCAAAGAAAGTCCTAGGCATTAATAAGTCAAACATTGCTGCATTCCGTGGAGTAGAGAATGAGCAATGGAAAGATGAAAAAGGAGGGCAACCAGTTAGACCTATCAGCTGAAATCAGGCCTAGATTGCTCACGGTTAAGGATGCAACTCACCGCAGTCACCGTTCCCACTGGTGCAGCAACAGCCCGAAACAGCCACAGCATCCTCTCAGGGGAGGCAAACACACCCAGAGCTTGGAATATGCTTGCCCTCACAGAAACAGTTATCATGTAGCCACATCCACAGTAGGAAGGCTTCCAAGTAAAGCACACTGCAACAGTTACATTGCCAAAGTCTGAATTAATCTACTCCTGAATGAATAACAAACAAGCTAACTCATCTTCTCATTTATTAGGAAAAAATATAGGAGCAGAAGTCTTCCTGCTAGTAACTAACATTACCAAAAAAATGGTATTTTTGCCTACTGTTCTCAACACAGGGAAATACTATCGAGCTGTTAAAAAGCTATTTGAAGAGCTCCAAAATAAGATCTGCAATGTTTAGTTAAAAAAACAAAACAAAACAAAACAAAATCTCAAGTATAAACTGATGACAAAAGCCAGATGAATGAAATGATTATTCATCCTCAGCTGACTGGCCTCACCCAAAGGTGCTATATTTACTACATGCCTGCAGACAGGGGCAAAGAATGCAGTATTTCAGGTCTGGCATTCTTCAGCCAAGTGAAAAATCCATTTGGCTTTAGAACAATAAAGACAAACTGAGAAGATCTCTAGTCAAATGAACTTCTCTGCCATAAACAAAGTCTGTGCAGCTCTAATATTCAAGGATAAATTAGTATTTCAAATGGGAAACTAAATGTCAATACTTAAAGTTAAGCAATAATGTCATTCTCCAGTTGGGAGAGACACACATCGCGAGGCCATAGAGTAACTAACTCTTCTCAGCAGATCCATTATTTCCCAGTAATGATTATTAGAAAAACATGAAATGGAAAACATATCAAGAGTAACTCGAGTCCTGTTGATCTGAACGCGATCGCCGCCTGCTCCACTCGACTGCCTGGTGCCAGCAGCGCCTCTTGGTGCAACCACCGAGACTCCTCTGCCTGACCACGTGCGATTCGGGCACGGGACAGGGTAAGGCAGAGAAGGTACAAATCACACCGCTGCGAGGTAAGCTGGCAAGGTCACCAATTCTTAATACTACAGTTCTCTTCTAGCCACATGAAGACTGAAATAAAGACAGTTTAAAGAATGGCAGAGCATTATTGGAGTTGAAAGCCACTAGCAGAAAAACTCCAGGTCAAGGTATGGTCAGTTTAAGCAAGTTCTTTCAGTTATCCAGCTACTGAAATAACACATCAAGAAATAATTTCTACCAGAAGCCCGATTTCTTCTCTTCATCCCTCAGCAAGCGCACCTAAAGCAGCGTCTGAGACTGCGTGTTCTGAAGACCTCAAATGGAAACAGCATTAATCACACTGGTGGCGACTTACAGAAGTGACAATCGACTCCAGATTTTCAGAGTCTGCGAGCTCAGCGTTTTGTTCAGATAAGGCGACCTGGAGACGCCCCAAACCGCCTAACTAGAAATCAAAGCTCTCAATCAACAATTACTAGTGAAAATCCCTGCCTTGAAGGAGAAACTGCTTGTGCCCCATTTCTGAAATTCTGTAAAGGGCTAGAAAGATAGGATGAACTCTTCAGAGTAAATTCAGCATCAGAAATGATAGTAAGAAAAGTATTTAAAAGATTCTCTAAGAAAAAATTACCTAATGATGATTACAGAACGTATTATGAAAACTGGAGGGAAAATTGTTTTTTCGAGGCCTACAACTATTCCAGCTACAACCGGGAAACCAGTGTTACGTTGGACACACCTGTATGGCAACGTCTGTTTCCCAGCAATGCCACAAGCAGACAAAAGCAAAATCACTAGTTACGTTCCAATCCAGCTCCTTACGGCCTGCCCAGCACCGACGTGCCCCCAGCCAGAGCGAAATGCTGAAGAACCGAACTGAAAAAACGACAAGGGCAAGACAATTATGTTCTTAAACCAACAAAGCAATTCTGCTCGGAGCAGTTTGCTGGACCACCGCCCTCCTCTCCCACCCTCTGAACACAACTCAGGAACACAGTCCAGCCAAAGCGAACCCCTCCGACCGAGCGGGCAGTTATTGCTGTAGTTCTGGCCCACTGTCGTCTTATCGTATCAATCCTTTCAAGGATTCTCCACTCCTCATTCACGCTAAACAACACAAAACCCTGGTGCTTTTAGTGGCTGGGGCAAGACGGCAGCAGGTGTCATCACAGAGTCTCACCAGAAAATGATGGCAGAGAGCACGGAACAGCCAGGCCAGGCAGCAGAGAGCAGCGCGCTTCTGCCCGCGAATGAGCACCGATGAACGGCGATGCATCCTGCAGCCGGCTCTGAGGCTGGACCCCGGGTAATGCTGTAACCAGGCTCACTGCTACAGCAGACAAGTGGGTTTTTCCTCAACAGTTCAAAAAAACCCAAAGTTTCCTCAACCATAAGCAACCCTCACATGTAAAAAGCATGCATTGCTGCTTTTGCTATGTACGTTTGCGCAAAAATTCTCTTGCTACCAGTTATGACCTCCGGCTGCTGTATCAATAGCAACAGAAAAGACCTTGACCTGAATGCAAAGGAAGCAACAACACGTAACCGGAAGAGGTAAACTACCCACATTTCCAAATATTCCATGGTTCTAAAGCTATGGCCATGTATAAGAAGATGGTTATACCTGACAACTCCAACTCTGTAACTGCTAAAGAGAGGTCTTCACAGAGCATAGTATGAGAAGAGTTAAGATATTTACTTCTTTCTTTGTCAAGTTCACTAAACAGCCAGCACCCTGCCCAGCACCCTCAGCTCGGAGCACAGCCACCACGCGCAGCACGGCTTCCACGCCCTCCAAGCATCTCGGCTTCACTCCTATAAAGCCCAAGTGTGTGGCGTGTAAAACACAGCTTGAATCGTGTCTCACAACCCTACAGGCCTGTTTCAAACCTGAGCAGCAATATAGAAAATTAATTTTAGTTCCTAACTACACCACGGTACTTCCCAAAACAAGGGCAAAGTTTTCCACTTCAAGCAGAAAAACAAACTGCAGGAAACAGGGTGGATCAGCAGCAGATTCCACTCGCAGGAGGAGCAACGTGACACAGCTCTCGCATTCATTTTTAGATGAG